CAATCAAGGCTGGCACTCAACCACATGAGCTACACTTCCACTTCTTGCTTTTTGGTGGTTAATTGGAGATAAGAGTCTCTTGGATTGGCTTCAAACCCCGATCCTCAGCTCTCAGCCTCCTGAGAAGCTAGGATCAAAGGTGTGAACCCCCGGGGCCTGGCTTTCCAGTTCTTGACCCTTGGTGCATACCAGAATCACAAGGAAGCAAGTATGAGGGTTGATCCTTGGGCTTGCCCCAGAACAATGAGATCAGAGATGCTCAAAGCCAGGCTCAAGCTCTGGGGGGAGTCTAAGGCTCATGAGGAAGTGGGTGGGGGGCGTGCTCTGTCCCAGCTGGAGTCCTGCCCCCCCTGGACATTTCCACATGGCTGCTGCTCTTAACCTTGGAGCTCTGGGGAGGGGTGGTTTTGTTGTTTTCTTCTTTTGGCTGTTTTTTTTTCACTGTATCTGCTAACAGATTTAGAAAGCACTTTTCTGGGCATGTCCCCCGAGGGGGCTGAGCTGTTTACACCGTTCTGCCCTGTCTGAGCACGAGGCTCATTCGCACATACACCACCCAGGGGACCAAGGGCCAGGGCATCTGAGCGCAGCCCCGGGCTGTCCACTTATCCAGCTGCCATGTCAGAGCCCAGGGGCCCCTCCCCGACCCCTGCTCCCCTGCTGCAGGAAGGGATGCCTTGGGGAAGATGGCTGGTTCCCTGTGACAGGTGGGGAGGGGTGTGTGTGCATGGGGATGCACATGCATGCATACACAGGGGCAGTGTACACACACACACACACCACTATGCCCGGATGTCCCCTTTGCCTCTCCCAGACCTGGGAGTGGGTCTGTGGTTTCAGCACCACATTGCGGACAGCTCCCATCGGGGCCCTGACAGCCCAGGTGACATTAGCCAGCAAAGATGGAGGGGCTGCTTCACAGTTGGCATCTCCTCTTGTAACCTGTGCCCACCTGCACCGTGTGGCCCTGTGTCCCCCCACTAGACATTCCCACTTTCTCCCCTTCCAAGCAGCCCCAGACTAGCCCACCCCAAGAATCACTCCAGCCACGTGGACTTCAGGAGTGGAAACTTTCAGACTGTACTGCATGTAAAGGCCCCTCCACAATACACCCCAGGCCCAGCCTCCTCCTCTCCCTGTTCACTCTGCCTGGGTTACTGGGGGGGGACCCCAGGAAGAACTGAACCAGCTGAGCAGGTGCCCAAGCCTGAGCCAGTGCCCCGGGATCGCAGATGTCCCCCCTCAGCACCTTCCTGGGTGCGCAGAGCCTGGGGACAGGATAAAGACCTTTCTACAAGAGACACTAGCCAGGGTCAGAGGTCGGCACCTGTCATCCTCATCTGAGGAGGAGTCTGAGATTGGATGATCATGATTCCTGTGCAGCCTGAGCTCAAAAGTCCCAGAGACTCCATCTCAAGCTGGTGTGGTGGTGCACGCCAGACATCCCAGATACTGGATGTGTAAAGTAGGAGGAAGATCACAGTTCAGAAGCACACTTATCTCGAAAACAAGCAACGCAACAAAAAGGGCCAGAGGCATGGCCCTGGTGGTAGAGTACCTGCCTTGCAAGCACAAGGCCCTGAGTTCAAATCCTAGTACTGCCAAAAAAATAAGTAAGAGTCAGGCTTTTATGCTTGTAATTCTGGCTACTCAGGAGGCTGAGATCTGAGGATCCTGATTTGAATCCAGCCCACTTACGAAAGTCTGGGAGACTCTTATCTCCAATTAATGACCAGAAAAGCTAGAATGGAGATATGGCTTAAGTAGGAAAGTATTAGCCTTGCGCAAAAAATCTCAGGGACAGCACCCAGATCCTGAGTTCAAGCCCCAGGATAGACAGGTAGATAGAGCAATGGAATATAACATTTGACTGCCTGCTCAGCCCCAGCGGGTGTCAGGAAAGGCAGGTTAGGGCTGGCAGACGTGTGGCGATCCCAACTCTGATGGGGATGTGGCACGCAGTGGAAGCCACACTGTCGGGGCCGTGAATGCCCAGTCATGTTGGAAAACAAGTTTGACATTGTCTGGTAACATTGGATTTTCACACAGTTCAAACCCCAGCTAGTATGCACATAATTCTATACCCCAGAGAAACCAGATCAATGGAGCCATTTGTCTCTCAGATGCATTCATTTAAAGGATTTGTCCCTGGGCAGTTGCACTAAATCACGGTGTGAGTTCAGCACCAACAATTCAGAGACAGCTCCCAGCCCGGGGACAAATCGTGCAATTGATCTGTGAAACCCTGGCATAGGAAACAAGTACATGAATATCCATGGCAGCACTCAGTGTTAAAATAATAATAATGATAAAGCAGGGAAAATACCCACCGCTGGGAAACACTAACAAACAATTATGTATATTCTGTTACAGTACAGATAATGTATATTCATGTAATATGATATAGTAGTGAAACAATTAAAAAACATAACACACAATAACATGGATGTGCCTCAGAAACAAAGCGAGTGAAAGAAGCATGTATCAGAGACTACATACAATAGATGCCATTCCCCCCCTTGGGTTGAAACTCAGGACCTCACAACCAGCTCATTGTTTGCTTTAGTTTGTTTTTGATACGCTCTCCCAGGGATAGCCTCAGACGACTGCTCTTTCAGAGCTGCTAGAACCACTTACCTATACCAGTATGCCTAGCTCAGGTTTTGAGACAGGATGCCTAGCTCAGGTTTTTTTTGTTTTTTTTTTTTTTTTTTTGTCGGTCGTGGGGCTTGAACTCTGGGCCTGGGCGCTGTCCTTCAGCTCTTCAGCTCAAGGCGAGCGCTCTACCACTTGAGCTACAGCGCCACTTCCGGTTTTCTGGTGGTTTATTGGAGATAGGAGTCTCACGGTCTCACCTGCCCGGGCTGGCTTTGAACCACGATCCTCAGATCTCAGCCTCCTGAGTAGCTAGGATTACAGGCGTGAGCCACCAGTGCCCGGCTCTAGCTCAGGTTTTGAGACAGGATCTTGCTAACTTTTGCCCAGACTGGCCTTGAACCTGATCCTCCTATCTCTGCCTCCCAAGTAGCTAGGATGACAAAAGTGCACCACCACCGCCAGCCCCAGCAGGAACTATTTTTACCAAGTTCCAAACCAAACTATAAAACAAGGTGCTACACTGTTCACAATAGCTAGGATATGAAAACAACCCAGATGCCCCACCACAGATGAATGGATCCAAAAATTGTGGTATCTATACACAATGGAATATTATGCAGCCATTAGAAATGACAAAATAATGGCATTTGCAGGGAAATGGATGGAGCTAGAAAGATCATGTTGAGCGAGATAAGCCAAGAGCAAAGAGACAAACGGTCTCCCTGATAAGTGGATGCTAAATCCAAAATGTTAGGTGATACGACAAAACTAACAGGACTTAAGAAACAAAGAACTCCCACTCATCTGGTTGAACCACTACTAAATATCCCCATGCTGCTGATCACATGTATGGTATATAACATGTATACATCGTTATATGTTATAGACTGTGATAGACAATTTGCTCCAGGAAAGTTAGAATGAACTTGTGACTTTAAATGAGCATCATTATTCTACAATACTGTGAAATTCAGGAAATTATGTAATCACTTAATCACAATCAAAAAAAAAAAAAAAAAGAACCTCGGGGAAGGTAGGGAGGGAGGGGATGGTAGGGGGAAAACAATGGAGGGGGTAACAATGCTCAATAGGAAGTGTACTCATTACCTTACCCATGTAACTGTAACCCTCTGTATAGTATCTTTACAATAAAAAAAAACAAGGTACTACAAAACCACCTATTGTCTTTGGAAAAACAAGTATGAGAAAAGCTGATTTTTTTTTTAAGAAACAAAGAAAAAACACAATTTGCGTTAGATGTTTCTCAGAGCGAGAGAGTAGGAGGCTGGGGGAGGGGCCGGTTAGGTGGACACGGGGCCTTGGTGATGGCTGGACATCACTACGCGTTTCGTATGTAGTTCCTCACACATCAGACCCTACGTAATACAAAAAAATAAATAGTTCCGCATCCTGGAGATATGAAAAGGTAAATTCACTCTCAAGCCAGGAGTTGGTGGCTCACACCTGTAATCCTAGGTAAGCAGGAGGCTGAGATCTGAGGATCGTAGAACCAGCCCAGAGAAGAAAACTCCATGGGACTCTCATCTCCAATTAGGTACCCAAAAGCTGGAAATGGAGGTGTGTCTCAAGTGGTAGAGCACCAGCCTTGAACAGAAAAGCTAAGCCAGAGTGTGAGGTAGTGAATTCAAGCCCTGGCACTGGGAAAAAAAAAAAATCTTGTAAAAAAGGCCCCAGTGGTTCATGCCTGTAATCCTAACTACTCAGGAGGCTGATTGGGAAAATCATGGTTCACAGCCAGCTTCAACAGAAGTCAGTGACACCATCTTAACAATAAGTGGTCAATATCTGGGCTAGAGGCATGGTGCATGTGGTAGAGTGCCAGCCAAGTAGACTGAGCAAACACAACGTCCCTAAGTCCCAAACCCTAGTACCACCAAAAACCAAAACAAACCAAAACAAACAGAAGCCACTGAACCTCAGTACCCCTCCCCTCGAGGCTTTCTGGCCTCAGTGTCTCCCCACGCATGGACTCCATGGGCTCCTAGCACTGTGGAGTCGCTGTCTCCACCACACCTGGCACCCTCCAGCAATTCCCAGGCCCAGAGAGAGAACAAGCCCAGGAAGAACACAGCTGCAGAACGGCCACTCCCCAATCCAGCCGCTGGGGATGGGGGGCAGAGGGGCCCCCGCGACGCCTGGCAGCTCAATCTTTCAGACCGATGGTCACACTCCACCTGCACACGGCTCCCAGGGCCCTCCAGGAGCCCACGGGAGGCAGATGGGCAGGTGGGGCGGGAACCAGGACCTGATCGAATGCTGTGAGGCTCCCAGGGTCCCTGAGCCGTGAGGTCCACAGGCAGAGCAGCCCGGCCCTGGGCGAATGGTCACCCTCCCCTCCCCTCCCCTCCTCTCCAGCGCCAGCATGGCCCACCAGGACTCACCTCTGCAGTTCCTTCAGGGACACCGTGATCCGCAGGCTGTGGCCCAGCACGTAGAGCGCAGCTAGAATGTCGGCCCACTGCACCATCTCCCCCAGCGGCCCCCCTTTCAGCACCCGCGGGCTGAACACGTCCCCCGACTCCTCCGTCAGGAAGCCGATGTGGACCAGGACCTAGCAAAGCAGGATGTGGGGGCTCAGCCGGGAAGAACACCAGCTCGCGGCCTCCCCTCTGCTGCCTCCTCCAGGGCAGCAGTGGTCTGGAGACCGCATGGCAGACGAGGCTCAGCCGGGCCTGCGCAGCGGTGCCACTGTGGTGCCCACCAGAGTGACCACATGGGGGGCACCAGGATACACAAGACTAAGGCAGTCACATGCTCTCCATGCTTACATTCCAGGAGGGAGAGGTGGCAACGGTAAACACAGACACGAGATAGTTTCATGAGATGGTAAGAGCTCTGAAAGAAACAGACAGGACGAGGGGCGTCACATAATTCCCCACTGCATGGATGGGATGGACAAAGGGATAGTAAATTGATTGCTGGGTGGATGATGGATGGATGGTCAAGTGGATGGTAGACAGATCAATGGATGGTAGATGGGTGAATGGATGGATGGTAGATGCATGAACAGATGGATGCACAGATGAAGAGGTGGAAGACTAATAAGGATGGATGGGTGGGTAGATGGATGTGGACGGATAGATGGATAACGGATGGTGGATGCATGATGGATGGATGGATAAATAGGCAGATAGATAGAAGGGCAGATAGGTGGACAGATGATGAATGGTGGATGGACAGATGATGGATGGATGAATAAACAGGCAGATAACAGAAGGGTGGATGGATGGACAGACCATAGATGGACAGATGATGAATAAATGGATGGATGGAGGGATGGATGGATGAATAGGCAGACGAATAGGAGGTGGAAGAGGGATGGATTATGGATGGACAGATAAGGGATGGACAGATGATTGGGTAAATAGGCAGATGACTGCAAGGGTAGATGGATGGTGGAAGGATAGTTGGATGGACTCTCTCAAGTGAGCCAAATTATCCCACACTTCCAGACACAAGCCATGAATTTTCTGCCTGACCAGAACAAGATGTGCAGAGAATGAGGATGGTCAGGACCTGGTCACTCTGCCTCCACCCTTCAAAGGGCCAGAAGCCCCGTTAACATCTATCCTGACCTGCCTGCCCTTCCCCAGCCAGGAGCAAAGAAATCCAGTACCACCTGTTTGAGGGCCCACCTGTGTCCCCTCAGAAGTCCCCCAGCCTCGACTTCCTGAGGGGAATGACATACCTGCTTCTGGTCCCTCTGGGTGCCCGCCAGCTTCCGTGTGAGGCGCTGAGCAGCTGCGGCCCACTGGCTGGTGAGCCGCCTGGTCCGCTTCTTCATGAAGATCAGGGACTCCTTCCCGCTGCCCATCAGCTCCAAGAGATGGGACAGGTTGCTCCGGAAGACTGCCTGGGGTGGGGGCATCCCGACCTCAGCTCTCAGGCTCCGCTGACCCCTCCCTCCCCTGTGGCCAGCAGGCCCCAGGATCCACAGCCACAGCTCTGGGGCTTGAACTCAGGACTAGGCACTGTCCCTGAGCTTCTTTTGCTCAAGGCTAGTGCTCTACCACATGAGTCACAGCGCCACTTCTGGCTTTTTCTGTGTATGTGGTACTGAGGAATCGAACCCAGGGCTTCATGCATGCTAGGAAGGCACTCTACCACTGAGCCACCTTCCCGGCCCATAGCTCTGCTTTTCCCCCAGCCAAGGTGGGGTGTCCTGGCCCAGCTCTGAGTAACCGTTACCCCCTGAGCCTCTCTAGGGAGGCCTTTGACTTAGTGCCTGGGGTCTCAACCAGGGTAAGGGGCAGTAGGGGCAGTGGTCGGGGCTGCAGAGGGGCTCCCCCGACGGGGGCCATGTTTTCCATATACCTCAGACCTGTGAACTCTACGTGCCCTCTATTAAACCCAATCCCATCAAGACAGCTGGGAGATGTAAGTACAAATAACAGGTCTAGCACACACAAAGCCCTCGGTTCATGACGCTGTTACTGTTACTCTAGCCCATGAAGGGGGCACCTGCGGGACCTCATCCTGCCCTCGAGCCCGGCCGCCCGGTGCAGCGCCCCACAGAAGGTGAGGCTGGCGCCTCCTGTCTGTCATCTGCTCCCCCAGCCTTGGGAAGAGCCGGGGCCCCACCCACGTCCATCGTGACCCTGCCACCCCCACCCCACCGCAGATCAAACGGGATCAAGGCGGGCTGGCGGTCCCACCCCCCGCCCCCACCTCGGCCCCTCACACACCTGCCTCCACGGCCTACCTGGACTCTGGGGAGGGGCTTGGGGGCCCTGCGGGCAGCCGTCTGATTCCTCCAGGGCAGCGGGGGGCAAAACCACTCGACCTCGCTGAGGTAGATGAGGAAGGAGCACTCGGTGCCGTCCACCCCGAAGAAGGCGTAGCAGGGGTCCGAGGTCCAGCGGGCCCGCATCCACTGCAGACAGGGCCAGGTCCGGGCAGGCAGCTAGCACCTCTCCCCCAGGGACCCTGACACCCCCACGCCAGGCCTGCCCAGCCACACACAGGTGAGGCAAGGAAGAGATCAGGGAAACTGAGGTAGGGAGCAGGTCTGAGGACCCCGGAGACGGGGAGGGTGTGGAGGAGCGGCAGGTGCCATGTCTGCCTGGTCTGTTATTCCCCATCCTTGGAGGCCAAGGGCAAGGCAGTCTCCAAGGAGGTGGGGCCGGGCCCAGGAAGCCAGCCCCTATGCAGGGGGTCCCCAGGAGGCTGTCAGCACTGCGGCCCACCCCCTCCAGGCTTGGGGAGCAGGCGGGGCTGGTTTGCTGCAAGGACAGACCTTATGCACCGGAAATGGCGCCCAGAGGCGGGGGCGGGGCCTGAGCCCCAGCTGCGGCCTGTGGGTGCCTGGCAAGGGGATGGGCTGCTGGGCAGCACGCGTGCTGACTGTTGAGTAACTCATTCGCCAGGTGCTGTAACCCTAGCTCCACAGGAGGCTGAGATCTGAGGAGCCTGGCTCCAAACCCGCCAGGGCTGACAAACCGGAGAGACTCTGATCTCCAATTAACCAGCAAAAAAGCCCGAAGCGGAGCCGCGGCTCACATGGTAGTGTTAGCCTTGAGTGAACAAGCTAAGGGACAGCACCCAGACTCTGAGCTCAAGCCCTGGACGTGGGGGCAAGGTGGCTCATTGGTTGGGGGAAAGTTCAGGATCCTCTGAAGGCAACTCACCCCAGGGGAATGGGAGGCGATGGCTGGGGAGACACCCCCACCCCTAAAGAGGCTCCATCTCTCTGAGGTCGGCCTCCACCAGCCAGTGCCTACGCTGGGGCTGTCCAGGCTGGCACTGAGACCCTGGCCGAGGACAGCCCAGCCAGGGCTTGGTCCAGAAACTGCCTAGGCACAGCCCCCGAGGAGTGGCGCACCCCACCCCGAGCCCCAGCCTAGGCCTCACCTCCACCTTCCCGGAGCAGTCAGGGAACTTGGGGTCGCTGGGTGCCTCGCACTGGTCCCGCCGGCCTTCCGACACTGCAGGGAGAGGTCAGCTGGGTCAGACCCGGGGCCAGGGAGGGCCGGGGAGGACCGAGGAGGGTTTTGGAGGGTTGCTGTAATGGGGCTTGAACTCAGGACCTGGGCGCTGTCCCTCAGCTCTTCAGCACAAGGCTGGCGCTCTACCACTTGAGCCACAGCACCACTTCTGGTTTTCTGGTGATTCACTGGATATAAAAGTCTCATGGACTTTCCTGCCCGGGCTGGCTTTGAACCACAATCCTCAGATCTCAGCCTTTTAAGTAGTTAGGATGACAGGCATGAGCCACCAGCGCCCGGCTCCCTCCACACTTCTTTTCTAAGCCCATACAGGAATGGGGGCGGGGAGGTGTCCCTAGGTTGGAGCTGCTCTCTTTTATCCCTCCCAGCCTCCTCCAGGTTCCAGGACCAGAGACTCATGATGGTCCTCAAGCCTCCGTCCCTCAGGCAGGCCAGAGTAGAGAGGACCGAGTGAGCTGCTGTGGAGCCATACGCCGCCCAACCTCCACCGGGCCCAGCGCACGGGCCTGGTGGGGTGGCAGCCTCCACTGGACCCAGCACACGGGCCTCGGGGGCCACACGCACCCTTGGTGTGCAGGAGCAGGCTGTGGCGCAGAATCTGGTCCACCTTCACGGCAATGTCAGACACATTCTGGGCGATGGCCTGGATCCGTTCCATGAGGCCCGCCCCAGCAGGCAGCCTGCGGGGAGAAGCCAGGGGTGAGCTGGGCGCCCAACTGGGTGACCTAGGGAGGGCGTGGCTATTCAGCAAAAGCCATGGGATTGGAGGGTGGCAGGACCGCAGGGGAGGGGCCTGCACCCAGTGCATGCAGGAGACAGCCACGCCCCCATCCTCGGATGACCATCGGCACTGAGCACCAGCATGGGGCGGGTCTGTGCCAAGGGCTGGGCCGGAGCTGCAGCAGGTGGAGGAATGCCCACTGCAGCCCACACAGGACCCTCTGAGAACCCCGGATGTCCAGCATCTCCCAGGCACAGCCAGCTGCTGAGTCTGTTTTTCTCTCCTACACTATAGCAGAATGAATTCTACTGCAGCAGCCTGCGGCCTTGCAAACTACTAAAACACCAGTAAACTCATGTTGGATTGTGTGTGTGTGTGTTTAACAGGGCTGGAGCACAGAGTCTGGCTACTATACCAGGCTGGTGTTCTACCACTTAAGCCCCAGCTCCACCTCCAGTTTTTTTTTTTTTTTTTTTTTTTGTCGGTCGTGGGGCTTGAACTCTGGGCCTGGGCACTGTCCCTCAGCTCTTCAGCTCAAGGCGAGCGCTCTACCACTTGAGCTACAGCGCCACTTCCGGTTTTCTGGTGGTTTATTGGAGATAGGAGTCTCACAGTCTCTCCTGCCTGGGCTGGCTTTGAACCGCGATCCTCAGATCTCAGCCTCCTGAGTAGCTAGGATTACAGGCGTGAGCCACCGGCGCCCGGCTTTGTTTTGTTTTTTGCTGGTTAATTGGGGATAAGAGTGTCACAGACATTTCTGAATTGAGATCCTCAGATCTCAGGCTCCTGAGCAGCTAGGGTTGCAGACGTGAGCCTCCAGCACCTGAGGCCTCCATGATCATCTTGCTGAGGCCCTGGTTTCATTCCATAGCTGTGCTCATGGCCAAAAAATTCAGGGCTGCCCTTGGCTGTCCGAGTTACTCAGAGATTTAGCGGACAGGCTGAGGGCCAGTCTCCAAGGCACACTTGTGGGAATTGGGGCCAATTACCTAGCTTCTCTCAGCTCAGGTGTCTATGCCTAAAGAGTCAGAAATCAGCTTAGCACTGGTGACTCACACCTGTAGTCCTAGCTACTCAGAAGGCTGAGATCTGAGGAACATGGTTCAAAGCCAGCCTGGGCAGGAAAGTCTCTAAGACTCTAATATTCAATTACCCACTAGAAAACTGGAAGTGGAGCTGTCAATCCAGTGGTAGAGTGCTAGCCTTGAGAAAAAGAACTCAGGGACATCGCCCAGGCCCAGAATTCAAGCTCCATGATTATCACCAACAAAAAGAATCAGAGTGCTGGGCGCTGGTGGCTCACGCCTGTAATCCTAGCTACTCAGGAGGCTGAGATCTGAGGATCGCGGTTCAAAGCCAGCCCGGGCAGGAGAGACCGTGAGACTCCTATCTCCAATAAACCACCAGAAAACCGGAAGTGGCGCTGTAGCTCAAGTGGTAGAGCGCTTGCCTTGAGCTGAAGAGCTGAGGGACAGCGCCCAGGCCCAGAGTTCAAGCCCCACGACCGACAAAAAAAAAAGAATCAGAGTTGCTGTAAGGATTCAATATGAGATTAAACGTCCAGATGTCAGCATACAGCAAGTGCTCAATAAATGCTTAACCCATTAAGCATTTGTTTTTGTTTTTCTTTTTCTGGCTCCCTACTTACAACAATCATCTCAAGTTTGGGGAGAGGATCAGCCATTTTTCCTACAATAGGCACTTTTTTTCCCCCATAAAACATTCGCTAGCACAGGCTTTAAATAGTGCAGACTGCATCTGTGGGATTTAACAAGTTCAACTAGTTTGAAACAGAATTATTGTTATTATACTGGACTTCGCATGTGTGTGGCACTTTCTATTCTCAAATAGTATACAATTAGGCTTCTTGTCCTTAGAAGTCTTTCTATAAATGACTACAGAAGTGGATGTGTTGGGGCTGGTATGAGCATGCACACCTGTAATCCCAGTCACTTAGGAGGCAGAGACAGGAGGTAATAAAAGCCAACCGCTCGCCTGGACAAGGCTGGTCTAAGATGCTATTTCAAACATAAACTAAAAGCAAATGATTGCGATGTGATTTGAGTGGGAGAGCCCAGATGGACAAGGGAAGAGAGCTGGCCGAGGAGTGACAGGGCGCAGCTGTCCAGAGAGGATGGGGGCAGGGAGAGCCAGAGCCACGGAGTCACCAAGAGGTTATGATCCCAGCACGGCTTCTCCAGGAGGTCTGCGGCACTCACGACTCTTTTAGAGGCCCGTGGAGATGTCTGACTTCCTTTTAAAATCAGAGGACAAAAACTTGCTGATGAGCCGGGTGCTTGTAGCTCACCCCTGTAACCCCAGCTCCTCAGGAGGCTGAGATCTAAGGATCCAGGTTCAAAGCCAGCCTGGGCAAGAAACTCTGGGAGACTCTAATCTGCAATTTGCCACCAAAAGCTGGAAGTAGGGACTGGGAAGGTGGCTCAGTGACAGAGTGCTTGCCTGGCATGCATGAAGCCCTGGGTTTGATTCCTCAGCACCACATAAACAGAAAAAGCCAGAACTGGCGCTGTGGCTCAAGTGGTAGAGCAAAGAAGCTCAGGAACAGCACCCAGGCCCTGAGTTCAAGCCCTAGGGCTGGGGGAACAAAAAAGCTGGAAAAAGAATGAAGGTTTGGGAAGGGGGGGGGGGAGACAAGGGGAAGTGGGCAGGCCGAGTGATCAAAGCGCACCACGGCCGCATCTGGACGTGTCAAAACGAAACCTAATCAAATGCATGGTACACAAAGCTGCTATTTTCGAGTGAAACCCCTTTGAACAAGTATCTGAAGATAATGAAAATTGAAATGCCAATTAATGCTAATAAAAGTGAAAAAAAATGAAGTCTGCACATGTTCAGTGTCAAAAAGAAAAACCCCACAAAACCCCAAAACAGCTTGTCTTCTCCCGGGCTGCACCCACAGTGGCTGTGACCTGCCCCCGACTCCAGCCGCCATCCACCTGCCTGAGCTCTGAGACGCTGTGACCCACAGGCCCCCAAACCATCCCCGAAGTCAGACTCTTCCTAGGATGGGTTCCTGACATGTCTGCCATTGTGTCTTCCCAGGACACAGAGTGGGAAACGGAGGCCTAGCTCATAGGGGACAGGGTTGGCTAGAAACAAGTGGAGTCTAACTTCTTCATGTGCAGACAGACGCTCAGCCCTGCGCCTCACTGAATGCTGCAAAGGGCCTGCCCCCACTCCCTCGTTCCCTCCTTTCCTTCCTTCCTCCTCCTTCCCTTTCTTTCTTCTGCAAGTACTTACTGAGCAGTCCCATGCGGCTGGTGTCCTTGCAGCCTGGAATGCAGCAGGAGCAAAGGCCGCGTCCCCTGCACCTGTGCTCCAACGTCAGAGCCAGGCAGCAAGGGTGCAGGGAATCAAACCACGGCATGTAGGATGGTGCTAAGGAGAGGTCTACAGGGACATCTGTGGGAGTGGGGTCTGGTCAGGAAAGGCCTCCTAGGATGCCACCTGAGCTTAGGAGAAGGGAGAAAGCTGGCTCTTCCATCTAGCCAGATCCAGGAAAAGATCGTTCTAAGCAGCTGAAAGAAAGCCAGTGCAAAGGCCCTGTGGCTAGCAGGAAACTCTATGGCTCCAGATACATCAGGGAAGCTGGGAACATACAGGAAAAGCCAGAGACCTGGGACCAATCATGTGGGGCCCACTAGGCCTCGAGCTCTTACCTGAATGAAAGAGGAGCTGGGGGGGGGGGGGCAGTGAGGAGGAATTTGACCTAATTATTGTTTCAACAAGATGCTGCGAGCTGCGGAAGTGAGGAGAGGTGGGACTCTCACCCGGGAGAATGTGCTGGAGGGGCCTAGGTGGTGAGAGAGCAGGGTGTGAGCAGGGCTGGGAATCCCGGCCTGGCACAATGGCTGTCTATGGTGGTCGGGGCCTTAATTTAGGCTAGGAGCCCAAGGCCCTGGCCCGGCTTGAGCTGGGAACTGGGGAGCCCAGGGCCTGCGGGGAGGGAGTTGGAGCTGTCAGAGTTCCCCAGCCAAGTCTTCAAATCACCAAGCTCTGAAGGCCCCGTCTTTAATCCCAGCCAAGCCAGCCGGGCTGGGAGACTGCTCGCAACCTCCACCCCCAGCCTCCTTCAGGCCCAGCCCACACTCCCCCTCCCTCAGCGTGGTCCTTCTCTGTGTCCTCCCAGACCGAGCCCCCGTTCCGTGTCCCGTGTCCCCCTCCCCACGGGCCCCCGAGGCTCAGCCCCGGCTGGGCAGACCCAGAACGTGAGCACAGGCGGCCTCCGCTGGAAGACTCAGAGACGGTTTCCACGGGGCTTGAGAATGCACAGCCCGAGGCTGGCCACCACCAACCCGCCTCCCGCATCAGCTCTGCCTAGGCTAAAACAGCAAAAGATGCTCTCCCCCGAGGACCCATCAGCACCCCCCCACACCCCCGTGGAAGCTTCCAGAAGGGCAGAGGAGGAAGATGGAGGTTCTTCCTCCTCAGCCACAGACGGGAGCCCAAGGCTGGCAAACAGAGTGGGCTAGCACGGCGCAGGGCGCTGGCTCCAGGCTAGCCCTCTGGGTGCCAGCCCACCCACCCCCAGGGCAGCGTCCCTGGGATTCAGGCCCGGCCAGCGCGTCCACGCGTGTGTGCATGCGTGCGCGCGTGCGCGCGCGTGCGCTCACGCCCTCACCTGTCCGCGGCCGCGCACGCCTCGCCGGCTCGCTGCGGCGCCGGCTCGCTGCCGTTCCCCAGCCGGGCCAGCGCATCCACGCGTGCGTGCGTGCGTGCGTGTGCCTGCGCGCGCGCTCACGCCCTCACCTGTCCGCGGCCGCGCACGCCTCGCCGGCTCGCTGCGGCTCGCTGCCGTTCCCCAGCCGGGCCAGCGCGTCCACGCGTGCGTGCGTGTGCGTGCGTGCGTGCGCGTGCGCGCGCGCTCACGCCCTCACCTGTCCGCGGCCGCGCACGCCTCGCCGGCTCGCTGCGGCGCCGGCTCGCTGCCGTTCCCCAGCCGGGCCAGCGCGTCCACGCGTGCGTGCGTGCCTGCGTGTGCGTGCGTGCGTGCGCGTGCGCGCGCGCTCACGCCCTCACCTGTCCGCGGCCGCGCACGCCTCGCCGGCTCGCTGCGGCGCCGGCTCGCTGCCGTTCCCCAGCCGGGCCAGCGCGTCCACGCGTGCGTGCGTGCCTGCGTGTGCGTGCGTGCGTGTGCCTGCGCGCGCGCTCACGCCCTCACCTGTCCGCGGCCGCGCACGCCTCGCCGGCTCGCTGCGGCTCGCTGCCGTTCCCCAGCCGGGCCAGCGCGTCCACGCGCCTGGCCATCAGCTCCAGCAGCTCGCTCATCTTGCGGAGGACGCCGCGGGACTCGGGGCCGCCGGGCACTGTGGGCACAGCGTGGCACGGTCAGCGTGGCCCCAGCCCCACTCTGGTCTTCCCCTTCCCCCTTCTCCCCCCCAACGCCCCTTCCCGGCCAGGGATGGGGTGAGTGGGCCTGTCCCCCAACACCCCCAGCGCAGAGCCCCTCTGCGGCGGGAGACTCTAGGCCAGCCCTGCTCCCTGCCCGCTGGGCCGCCCTGGGAACTCTGGCCACCTCTCTGGGCCTGGGTTTCATGTGCTGAAAACAGAGTTGTGGGCATAATGGCTCAGGGGCCTGGGTCCAGGAAGCCTCTCCTTTCCTTTCCTCTCCTCTCCTCTCCTGCCCTGCCCTCCCCTCCCCCGCCCTGCCCTCCCCTGCCCTCCCCTCCCCCGCCCTGCCCTCCCCTCCCTTGCCCTGCCCTCCCCTGCCCTCCCTTCCCCTGCCCTGCCCTCCCCTGCCCTCCCTTCCCCTGCCCTGCCCTCCCCTGCCCTCCCTTCCCCTGCCCTGCCCTCCCCTGCCCTCCCTTCCCCTGCCCTGCCCTCCCCTGCCCTCCCTTCCCCTGCCCTGCCCTCCCCTGCCCTCCCCTCCCCTCCCCTGCCCTGCCCTCCCCTGCCCTGCCCTCCCCTCCCCTCCCCTGCCCTGCCCTCCCCTCCCCTGCCCTCCCCTCCCCTGCCCTCCCTTCCCCTGCCCTGCCCTCCCCTGCCCTCCCTTCCCCTGCCCTGCCCTCCCCTGCCCTCCCCTCCCCTCCCCTGCCCTGCCCTCCCCTGCCCTCCCCTCCCCTCCCCTGCCCTGCCCTCCCCTCCCCTGCCCTCCCTTCCCCTGCCCTGCCCTCCCCTGCCCTCCCTTCCCCTGCCCTGCCCTCCCCTGCCCTCCCCTCCCCTCCCCTGCCCTGCCCTGCCCTCCCCTGCCCTCCCTTCCCCTGCCCTGCCCTGCCCTCCCCTCCCCTGCCCTCCCTTCCCCTGCCCTGCCCTCCCCTGCCCTCCCTTCCCCTGCCCTGCCCTCCCCTCCCCTCCCCTCCCCTGCCCTGCCCTCCCCTGCCCTGCCCTCCCCTGCCCTCCCTTCCCCTGCCCTGCCCTGCCCTGCCCTCCCCTCCCCTGCCCTGCCCTCCCCTGCCCTCCCTTCCCCTGCCCTGCCCTCCCCTGCCCTCCCCTCCCCTCCCCTGCCCTGCCCTGCCCTCCCCTGCCCTCCCTTCCCCTGCCCTGCCCTCCCCTGCCCTCCCTTCCCCTGCCCTGCCCTCCCCTGCCCTCCCCTCCCCTCCCCTGCCCTGCCCTCCCCTGCCCTGCCCTCCCCTCCCTTGCCCTGCCCTCCCCTGCCCTCCCTTCCCCTGCCCTGCCCTGCCCTCCCCTGCCCTCCCCTCCCCTGCCCTGCCCTGCCCTCCCCTGCCCTCCCTTCCCCTGCCCTGCCCTGCCCTGCCCTCCCCTGCCCTGCCCTCCCCTGCCCTCCCTTCCCCTGCCCTGCCCTCCCCTGCCCTCCCCTCCCCTCCCCTGCCCTGCCCTGCCCTCCCCTGCCCTCCCTTCCCCTGCCCTGCCCTCCCCTGCCCTCCCCTCCCCTGCCCTGCCCTCCCCTCCCCTGCCCTTTCCTTCCTCCCTCTCTCCCTCCCTCCCTTCCTTCCTTCCTTCCTCCCTCTCCCTCCTCCTTCCTCTTTCCCTTTCTCTCTCCCTCTTTCCCTCCTCCTTTCTTTTCTTTTTCCCTCCCTCCTCTTTTTCCCTTTCTCCCTCCCTCACTCCCTCCCTCTTTCCCTCCCTTCCTTCCTTCCTACTTTTTCCTTTCTTGCAAGTGCTGGAGTTTAAGCTCAAAGTCACACACTTGCTAGACAGGGCCTTTACCACTTGAACCATACTACCAGCCCCATTTTGCTTTAGTCCTTTTTTTCCCTTTTCCTGGTGGTAGGGCTTGAACTCTGGGCCTGAGCCCACTGTCCCTGAGCTCCTTTGCTCCAGGTGAGTGCTCTACCACTTGAGCCCAGCTCCACTTCTGGGTTTTTCTGTGATTAATTGGAGTTTCATGTACTTTCTTGCCCAGGCTGGCTTTGAACCATGATCCTCAGATCTCAGGCTCCTGAGTAGCTCACAGGTGTGGCTGCTGCTTTAGTTGCTTTTTTGTTTTGTTTTTTAAGCAGGATCTTACTTGTTTTGCCCAAGACTGCAACCCTTCTACCTCTGCTTCACAGCTACCTGGCTGGCAGGCCTCACTGTTATGTTTAGCTTGTTTGTTGAGCTGCGGTCTCCCTAATTTATGTACCCAATCCTTCTGATTTTTGCCTCACAAGGAGCTGGGATTACAGGAATGAGCCACCACAGGGGCTTAGACCAGTTTCTAAAACAATGGTCCAATATTGTGCTCTGCAACCGAACCTCCCAGCCAGGCTGCTAGCATTCAGATTCCCAGGCCTCCGCTTAAACTTGCTGATTTGAAACTCTGGGGTATGGGGCCCCTGGGGCCTGAGGTTGGTGTACCCCCATGCCAGCCCTGTGCCCAGTGGGGAGTCTGCCCCCAAGTGAGTCCTGTGCCCAGTGGGGGGGTCTGCCTTCTGGGAGTCAGAGCTGCTGCCTCCTGCCTCCACTCCTCCCCTTCTCTGTCCTCATCCTGCTCCTCCAGACCATTCTGTAGAAAACCCTGAGTGTGAGCCGGGCACTGGTGGCTCACACCTGGAATCCTCAGGAGGCTGAGATCTGAGGATCTTGTTTCAAAGCCAGCCTGGGCAAGAATGTCTGTGAGAATCTTACCTCCACTAAAACTACTAGAAAACCAGAAGTGGTACTGTGGTTCAAGTGGGCAGAGCGCTAGCCTTGGGCTGAAGAGCTGAGGGACAGCGCCCAGGCCCAGAGTTCAAGCCCCATGACCAACCAAAAAAAGAAAAGGAAAAGAAAAGAAAGACAAGAAAAGAAATCCCTGTGTGTAAATAGGATTGAGGTCCAGGCTGTCCAGAGCAAAAATCAAGACCCCATCTCAAAAATATCAGAGCAGAGAAGGGCTGGGGTGTGGCTCAAACAGTCCAGCGCTTGCCTGGCATGTGTAAGCGCAAGGCCCTGAGTTCAAACCCTACCAAATGAAGGAAGGAAGGAAGGAAAGGAGAGAAGGAAGGGAGGGGGGAAGGGAGGGGGGAGGGAAGGAGCCAGAACACCCCGGCAGGCTTCAGGGGACAGACAAGGCTAAAGGCCAGGACACCTGGCCCACCTGCAGCCAACACCCGCCAGATGGCAAGAGAGAAGTTCCTAGATCCTGAGACAGGAAGAGGAGGGGGCGGGCAGAGAGGGCACTGGGCGTGGGCACTGGGCGTGGGCACTGGGCGTGCCCTGAGTCACCAGGCTGTCCCTGACACCCGACTCTAGCCCCCTCCCTCTCCCCCTCAGGGGCCCTCACCACCAGCTTCCCTGAACCCACAGGACATAAGACACCGCGCGGCTTTGCTCCCCTGACAGCTGAGCCTGCCCAAGGGGCCGGGAGGGGAGGGGTGGGAGGGCTGCAGGAGCCTGGCACAGTACCAGCAGGAAAGAGAGCCAGGCCCTCCATAAAGAGACGGGACAGCAGGTGCGATGTGGGCGGGGCGAGGACTGGAAGGCCCCGGGGATTCGGGCTGGAGCTAGGGCCTGCAAGGCCAGGCACGGTGGTGTACACCTGTAAGCCCAGCTACCTCTGGAGGTGAGGACAGAGGGGACTGAAATGTAAGCTCAGCAGAAGGAAAGTTCCAGATTCTGTGCTTCCTAACTAAAGTAACTAAAGGAAAAAGGGCTGAGGGTGTGGCTCAAGTGGTACCTGCCTAGAAATGGAGAGGTCCTGAGTTCAAACCCAAAGAAGGAAGGAAAGGGAGGAGGGAGGGAAGGAAGAAGAGGAGGGAGAAAGGGAGGACAGGAGGAAAAGAGGGTCCTGTTTCTATACCTCTAAGTACCAGAAACAGGCAAATCCCTTTCCCAATCCTCTCCTCTCCGAACACCTAGCAGATTTGAATCAGTGGGGCCAGGAGATCCCACTGCTGTGCCATTGCCTTGAATAAAGAAAATTTGGGGTCTCTCTGGCCACCCGCCCCTCCCCATCTCCCGTGCAATCAGGCAATCGATCAAGCAAGACAGAAAGGGCCAGTAGAACTGCGCCCCAGAAAACAGGTAGCCTGGGCCTCTCTCCAAGCCCAGGCCAACCTTCCTGTGCACCCCCCCCACCTCCTGCACCTGTCCTGGGACTGGAACAGGCTGCCCCCACCCTCCCAGACCCATCGCCAACAGCCAAAGGTCCAGCAGCGGGAATGGGTGCCGAGGAAGAAGCCAGCCAGCCAGGTGGGCCCGACGCCTGACAATCAGAGCCGAGCTGGAGCAGCAGGCTGACATCACCCCTCATTCTGGGCATCCGCTGAACTGCGGGTCCCAGGCTCACATCTCAGCCTCCATACAGGTTCCTCCCTTCCACATCTCCCATGCAAATGAGGGAAGCTGCGTACCAGGAAATAAATGCATGCTCACATTTGGAGACGGGGATTTTGCGTGTGTGCGTGTGTGCGTGCGTGCGTGTGTGTGTGGGGGGGGGGGGTTCTAGGGCTTGCACTCAGGGCCTGGGCACTGTCCCTGAGCTTTTTTGCTCAAAGCTAATGCTCTACCCTGTAAGCCACAGCTCCACTTCTGGCTTTTTGCTGGTTCATTGCAGATAAGAGTCCCAGCCGGGCTTTGAACTGTGATCCTCAGATCTCAGCCTAAGTAGCTAGGATTCCGGGTGTGAGCCGCCAACACTTGAATAGCTAGGGTGATAGGTTACGCCACCAGCACCTGGCGAGGGACGGGGGGTGTTTATTCCTGCAGAGGCCTTCTCCTCCCGATGTTCTCTCCGTGGCTCTGTCCCTTCCACCCTCGGCTCTACCCTTTACAGCTGGTTCCATAAACTGCCAGGGAGCAGAGACCTCCCTGCTCTCAGGGAAAGCTCTGGGACGCACAGCTGGAGGAGAAGGCACATCTGGCCCTCTGCACAATGTGGCTGCCACAGCCGCACCGGACCCAGCTGAGGCTGCAGAGTTCTGGGCTCTGGACAGTTCAATCAATCCCTGGCCAGGGCCAGCCTGGTCCAGGGAACACCAGGCAGACGCCGGCAGCTAGAAGCAAGGGCCTGAAGCCTCCAGGCCTCTCCCCAGAGAAGTTCCTGGCTGCTATTTCAAGACAAGACAGAGAGCTGGGGAGAGCCGGGAACTGAGATTACAAGCTCCAAGCAGCTAGCGCTAAACAACTTTGCAGAAAGGAAGGGGCTGGGGGGAGGGCAGCCGCAAGAAGGAAAGAAGCTAGACCTCCTCCTAATTCCTGTTCAGCCCCACTTTCCTAGTTCTTAACATGTGTAAGCGAGTGCACTTCACCAGCCCAGAGCCTGGGCGCCAGTGGCTCCTGTCAATCATCCTAGCTACTCAAGAGACCGAGGTCTGAGGATCCAGGTTCAAAGCCAGCCTGGGCAGTCAAGCCAATGAGACTCTTATTTCCAATTAGCCATTCAAAACTGCCAGAAGTGGAGGTGTGGCTCAAGTGGTAGAGTGCCCATCGTGAGCAGAAAATCTAAGGGACAGCACCCAGGTCCTGAGCCTTGGGATAGGGCTTTGTGCGTACACACACACACACACACACACACACACACACACACGCCAGGCCAGAGGCCATGGTAGGAGAAGAGCACATGCCTTGTCCCCCTCCCCCGACCCCTGCAACCACCCCAGGGAGATGCAGAACCACAGAACCACAGCCCAGCACATACCCCTCCCCCCTTACACCATTAGTCTGGCTTCTCAGACCTCTGACCTTTCAGGAAGTCCAGGTTCCTGGGGGTCACGGTCCACCCCCCCCTCCAGCCCAGCATGGCCCTGTCCAGGGGTGGCATTGGAGAGCCTGGGCATGTGCACCTGACCTTCCCACCACCCATGCCCGCCTCTCCTGGCCTCCGTGGCCAGCATCCCTGCATCTGTGCACTCTTCCACCCCCTCCACCCCCCTCTATACCCCCCACCCCCACCCCCTCCACCCTCTCCACCCCCCTCCACCCCCCTCCCACCCCCCTCTACCCTCTCCACCTCCTCCACCCCCTCCACACCCCACACCCCTATACCCCCTCCCCTTTCTCCTCCCACCCCCCTCCACCCCCTCCACCCCCTCCACCCTCTCCACCCCCTCCCACCCCCCTCCCACCTCCTCCACCCCCTCCACACCCCTATACCCCCTCCCCTTTCTCCTCCCACCCCCTCCACCCTCTCCACCCCCTCCACCCCCTCCACCCCATTTCTCGCAGCCCCAACCCGTCAGGCTCAGCACAGCCCCCCCCCCCCCCAAGGGCGGGTGGAGACCCTGTTCTGCCAGGCATGCCTGGAGACATCACCCCTGCTCCCAGCAGCCCCTGGGACACCCGGTACCGCCCCCCTCATTGGAGAGGGCATGAAGGCACGCGCTCAAAGGCTGAGCGCTCGTGCCAGTCAGATGGATCCATTCACTGACACCGGCTCCAATGACTAACAAGTGTGCAATCCTTCTGGGAGCTTCTGCCCGTGCGAAGCTGGAGGAATGAATGGGTGATGACTAGCACCGCGCCGTGAGTGTGGCTCACCGCACCCACTCCACACTATAGCCTGGGCAACTGCAGACTACTGTCCACGGCCCACCACCCACCGGGAACAGGTGGAAGAGAGACTTCCAGGACGAGGGGGGGGGGCGAGGGGAGGCCATCTCACAAAGCCATGCAGCTCCGGGACTCTGGGACTCGGAGCCACTATGATTTCTGTATGAGACCAGCCATTCCATCCAACTCTGATGAGTTTTGTTTTGGTGCCAGTACTGAGGCTTGAACTCAGGGCCTGGTTACTCTCCCTGACCTTTTTTGCTCTGCTGCCAGAGTCACGCTGCCATTAATCAGAGATAAGAATCTCTTGGATTTGTTTACCTGGGCTGGCTTCAAACTAGGATCCTCAGACCTCAGCCTCCTGAGGAGCTGGGATTACAGGCGTGAGCCACTGGCACCTAGCCCTCTGAAAGGCTCTCTATTTTTCTCTCTGTGGCTGGCTGAAGGGATTCCATCAGTGTCACATGGCTAGTAGGGGATGAGCAGAGATGCAAACCCTAGGCTGGCTGGTCCCCAAAGCCCTGCTCTGAACCTCCACATCATGCCCTGCAAGCATCATGTGTGCAGGGAGCAAGAAAAAATCTATGCCCCTGAGCTCAAAAACAAGACCTGTGCACCTGCAGCCGGGCCTGTCCCTCACTGTGGCAGGGCCTGGGCCAAAGACACAGAATATGTACACTTCAAAGAGGGGGTGTCATACCAATGTCACCACCCCTGACACTCCAACTAGAGGAGTTCTACAACCCAAGGTGTGGCTCGAGAGTTTCAGCACCAGTGGAGCAAACATGCCAGCCAGTGCAATGCTGAGTTCAAACCCCAGTACCACAAACACACCGCATCTCCCCTCCGCCCAGGAGAGCCTGGATGAAGTCTGGCTGCACACACAGAGCCGCAGAGGCCTCCCTTCTCTGCCCCTCACCTCTGGGTGACCAGAAGCCCGGGATAGGGTCCCAGAAGCACCTCACCCCCACCCCGCAGCTTGTAAACACCTGCTTCCAGTACCTTCTGTACGGATGGTGAAGGGGGAATCTCCCAGGCGCCGGGTGGAGAACTGGCCTCCCAGAGACGTCATCAGGAAGCAGAGAGTGAAGAACCCGATGCCCAGGACAAAGAGCCTGCGGGGGAAGGGGGGGAGGAAGGGCAGGTCAGCTGGGCAGACCTCAACACGGCGCCCCCCAACCTGCAGGAGGGGCCCCCCAGGAGGGGCCGAGCGGTTCTTTAAGTATGTGGGATGAAGCTGGGCACTGGTGGCTCAGGCCTGTTAGCCTAGCTACTGAGGAGGCTAAGATCTGAGGATCATAGTTTGAAGGCAGCTGGGGCAGGAAAGTCCACGAGCCTCTTATTTCCAATTAACTAGTACAAAGCCGGAAGTGGAGCTATGGTTCAAGCGGTAGAGCACAACCATTGAGAGAAGAAGAAAAAAAGCTAAACCAGAGTGTGAGGTCCTGAATTCACACACACACACACACACACACACACACACACACACACACACACACACACACACACACACACGGAACCAGGGAAGGATGAATGACAGGATAGCAGAGGAACAGGAAGCAGAACTTGGGCCCAGGAGGCTCCCTCCTCCATAGGACAAAGTCAGGAGGCCACAGGGAGAGATCTGGACAGATCTAGCCTCAAGACAGAGCCTGCTCCTCCCAGCGTGGGCCCCAGACCGGCAGCAACGGATCATGAGAATTAGAGAATTAGAGGCGAAGTCTGACACCCCATACTGAGCCGGGCGCAGGGAGGTGGTGGGCAGTGTTTTCACACGCTCTCCTGTTGATTGCAATACATGCTGGAGTAGGAGACGCAACAGTAGGCCTGATGCCAGCCAGAGGGCAAGAAACCCATCCAGCCGAGACCCACCTGCCCCCATCCATCACTGGAGCCATCCCAGGTGCTGAGTGCACAGCCTGCCCAGGTCATCCATCACCAGCTCACCGTAACCCTTCCCGGTCTGGGCGCCCAGTCCAGGCACCCATCACTGCTGGATGAGCCTGCTGAGCCCTCCCTCTGCCCGACTGAGGGCTCCCAGCATGTTTTCAACTGGGCACGGAGGGCCATACAGGTGTGATGCTGGCCAAATGACCCCATTCCATTCCTTCCACACAATACTGGGGCCTGGACACTGGCCCTTGGCTTTGACACTCATGGCTGGTGCTCTACCACGTGAGACACACCCCTACTTCTACCTTTTTTGGGGGGGGAAGTCAGTCGTGGGGTTTGAACTCTGGGCCTGGGCACTATCCCTCAGCTCTTCAGCTCAAGGCAAGTGCTCTATCACTTCAGCCACAGCGCCACTTCTGTTTTTCTAGTGGTTTATTGGAAATAAGAGTCTCATAGACTTCCCTGCCTGGGCTGGCTCTGAACTGCGATCCTCAGATCTCAGCCTCCTGAGTAGCTAGGATGACAGGTGTGAGCCACCAGCACCTGACCAACATAAACTATTGATTATTTAACCAGGTACCTAGCATTGTGGTACCTGAGGGTATGGGGAAGGGGGAGCAGGGGACAGGAACAGACACACCCTCTAGTCTAGCCCCAAACTCCTGCGCCTAAATGCTCAGTCCGGGGCCCCAAACAGCGCAGAGCTGGGGGCAGGTAAGAGTGACAGATGGTCTCACACCTCACACCCATCAGAGGCCATGATGAGTTGGTAGAGCTGAGAGAGGGCACTCCCCTCCCCCCACAGGTGTGAGAGCCCCCCCCCAACATGCCAAAGATCCAACAGCCACACCCCGACTCCATCCCTGACTCTGGACGTGTAGGTATCCTTCTGCAAGACTTGCTTTATGCATTTTAATCTTCATTATTTGAAACTGGCAGAGCAGGGCTTAATTAAAATTTGGTCCATAAAGAAAACATAATTGCAGAAGAAAATAAAAAAAACACAACAAAATTTCCAGCCTAAGTTTAAAAGAAGCTGTCCGAGGTTAGCCGGGGAGCAGCGGGGCCAGAAGGTGGCTGGTCCGGGCTCCCGGGGGAGGGAGCGACTGCCCTCCGGTCCCTGGGGAGATGGGACATGGAGGGACACCACCTCCTCCCCCCCACTGAATTCCTCCCTGCCTGGGGGCAGGGCTCAGATCCAGAGGTTTCCCCTCCTCAAATTAAATCGGGGTGGTTCCTGGGTCAAGGCCGGAGCACCCTGGGGGGGGGGCTGTCACCCACCCACGGGGATCCCTGGGGACACAGCTCTTGGAGGGACTCCCCAGCCCGGGAGTCCCTTCTAGACCTGAAGCCCAGCACCTTCACCTCCCAGGGCTCAGGACCCCCCTTTTCACTCAAGTGAAAACGCTTTCGCCGTCGGAGCTTCGGTCCACCGCAGGGCACGCGTGGGACAAAGGCCGGGCCGCCGGGGCTCCGGGAAACCCAGCGGGACGGCCGCCCGGGCGCTGTCCGCGGTGCTGGAGGCCGCGCGGCGGGCCGGGGGCCTGGGATGGGGCGGGATGGGGCGGGAGCCGGGGGTCTGCCCCGCGGCACCCCGGGAAGCCGGGGGGGGGGGGACAGGGTTTCTCTGGAGGCGCAAGGCCCCTCCCAGGGTGCCCGGTTTGGGTCAGGGGTTCCCCACAGCCCGGGAGCCCCGCACACTCGGCGGCCCCAGGGTCCCCGGGCCCAGCCCCTCGGGCAGCCCAGCCCCGGGGTTGGCCACTGCTCCGCTGGGGCCCCACCTGTGGCCTGAGGGCTCCGTGCTCCCGCCCTCCGCCGTCCTCCCGTCCTCCCGCCCCCCCCCTCCGCCTGCTGCGCCCGGCCCGCGGGGCGGGGGGGTCGTGACCCCATCCCGGCGCCGCTCCCGGGGGACCCGGGTCTGCACCCGGCCGGGCAGAGGGCGGGGAAGGGGCCGGGCTCGGCGGGGGGGGGGGACGGCGGGTCGACGGGAGGGGGCGCCGCCCGGCACCCCGCGATAACTTTGCCGCCCGGGTGGGAAGCCCCGCGCGGGGGAGACGCCCCACGGGTCGGGACCGGGGCGGGGAGGGGGGGAGCCCTGGCTGGGCCGCTGCCCAGGCCCAGGCCACGGCCTCGGTCCTCCCGGAACCCCAATCCCACCTCGGCCACCCCGAGGCCGCCCCCAACCGGGGACACGTCTACATGACAGCCTTTCCTCCCCGGCCCCCCACCCAGCTCCGCCCCGGGTCCTGTCCGAGGACGGAGGCGCGAGCCTCCCACCCCCGCGGGGGAGCGGGGAGCCCCGGCGCGCGGGGAACTTTACCGGAAGGGTCTCAGGGTGACCAGGCATCGTCTGACCATTATCTTCCCGTCGGGGTGGACGGCGATCATCGTTCCAAACTTGTCTGGGCGAGGCGGGACGCCCCGCGGTGGGCCGAGGCCGGGCCGCGCGCGGAGGGGGCGCGGGGCGCGGGGCGCGGACCCCGCCGCGGGCGCAGCGGGTGGCGCGGCCTGGCGCCCGGCCCGGCGATCGCTGCGTCTCCGCCCTCCGCGCTTCACATCTTGGGGGTCGGGAGGCGGCGCGCCCCCAGACCGCCGGCCGCGCGTCTGGCTGCTCGGGCTGGCTGGCTGGGCGGGGCGCGGCGGGGGCTCCCCGCGGCGGGCGCCCACATCCCCGGCCCGCGCCCTCGGTGCCGGCTAGCGGCGGCCCCGGGCCCGCGCCGCGGCCCCCCGCACCTCCGGGCCGCGCCGACCGCTGGCCCCGCGCCGCGCCGCGCCCATGGCTCTCGCGGAGAGGCGCCCCGCGCCGCCCTCCCGCGCGCGCTCGCCCGTCCGCCCGGCCCGCGCTCCGGGGGCCCCGCGCGTCCGGCCCGGAGCGCCGCGCTACGCCCGGAGGCGCCGCATTGTTTCCTCGGAGGAGGCGGCGGCGGCGGCGGCGGCGGCGGCGGCGGCGGAGTGGCGGCCCGCGCGGCCCGGGAGCGGCCTGGCGCTTCCTCGGCGCGCCAGCGCCACCTGGTGGCTGAGCCCCGCTCGCGCGCCCTTCCCCGGGCCGGGCAGGCAGGGGGCGCGGGGCGCGCGCGGGGCCGAGGACCCTCTCCCCCCGGGACACGCGGCTTCCTAGGACGCCACCAGCCGGCCACGGAGAGCCAACGGCCGCGCCCGATCCTGCACAACGCAGAGGGCGTGGAGATCCGGGTCCCTGCCACCCCCAGGCTCTGCACCTGCTGCCTTACTCCACCCGCCCCACCCCGGGACACGCACTGTCGTGTCTGAGCCGCTCACCCATCTGTCTTCCTTGTTAGAGGCCCTCCGCTTGGGTGGAGGGCGGGGGGCGGGGGTCCTGGTACCTGGGGACACTGAGGCTTTAGCTTATTGGCAAGACTGGCACTCTACCATGTGAGCCACAGCTCCACGTCCAGCCTTTCAGTCGGTGGTGAATTGGAGATAGAGTCGCACAGACTTTCCTGTCCTGGGCTGGCTTCAAACCTCGATCCTCAGGTCTCAGCCTCCTGAGTAGCTAGGATGACAGATGCAATGCGTTCCCGAACATTCCCCAGTCACCTCAGACAGATTCAGTCTGTCTGGTATGTATACATGCATCATGTTTATCTTTTAGGTCATCTGAGAGGAAACATGTGACCTGCATCGTTCTGACTGTAACAAGGCCAGCCTGGGGTCCACAGGCCTGCTGGGCCTGGATTCTCCTATAACCAGCGGGTGAGGAATGGGCAAATCCACGACCAGAGTGCCAGGGAGTAGCTCGCTAAGGCTCCTAGCTCCAAAACGCACAGGAGGGAGTCTCGTGGCATCTCAGGGCCCTGCCTGCCCGCTCCCTGCCTTTCTAGACTTTGCAGATGTGTCTGCAGTTGCAAATCAAGAGGCTCCTACAAAAGAACCCATGTGAAACCTTCTGACTGCAGAGCACATCACGCAAGCTCAGCCCTCCGCATGGTGGCCCGCGACGCCCCACGCCCCCTGCGATGCACTGAGGCTTTGGGTGCTGTGTGTCATGTAGACACGGTGTCTCCCAGGGGCTCGCTCAGCACCTGGCAGAGCCTCAAAGGCAGACTGAGGAAGGAGCAAGCCCATTTTTCCTCCACTCCAGCTGCCTGGGAAGCCCCGCCCCTCTGCTGCCTGGCCACGCCCCCTCTTGGAGCCATTTCTCACTAGCAGTGACTCATGCTCCCTGCTTTTCCTGCTCCTCCATCACAAGTCACCTGCCCCCCCCCATTCAATTACCTCATTGTCTCGCTCCCTGCCAATGTGAAGCCGGTGATAAATTGGTGTTGGCAGATTAATGTGTTACTCCAGCTAGGTAACAAATTTGCATTGAACAAGGACAGGCTGACCGTGCCTTGGTCTCGGAAGAGTGACAGATGATGGCGGGAAGTCTGGGCACCGCGCAGGTTGGCTAAGGAAATGTTTGGGGGGCAGAGGTTCTCCGTTGGGCTCCTGAATCACGCCTGGTGCCTGGTTGCCCATCTGCCACACATTCCAGTAACCATTTAGTTTCTGGCTTTGAGTGTCAAAGCCACATCTGAGTGTGCCTGTCGCTGGCCAGCTTGGGGTGGGGGTGCTGTGGAGAGGCTGATCTAAGGGAAGGAGGTGGGGGTTCCCAGAAGACCTGGGGAGTCCAGGGAGGTGGTTTAACTCAGCCAGATTTTAGGTGGAAAAGGATGTCTCCCCTCCCCCTCCCCCCCCTTGCTGTCTTGTGTCTCCACATTGGGGTGGGAGGGAGGAGGAGTGGCGGGCTCGGGGCCAGCAGGGAGCCGGGGCGACGGCGTGGGTGATACTTTGCGTGCCAGATTGCCCAGCCGCCTGCTCATTTCCAAGCCTGCTTCCCCCTTGTCAGCCTCCTGGCTGCGTGCGGTCAGTCCATAGTCACCGGCCCCCTCCTCGTTCCTGCCGCACCGGGGACATCAGAAGTCTGACAGCACGCCACAGAGGAGGCACCCTCTCCGTGCCTCGGTTTCCCTACCCATGAATCAGGCTGTGTACAGCACCGCCCTGGTCGGAGGCACCGTGTGAAGCAGCGGCCTGTCGCCTGGCTCCTATGGCAGCCCCTGGCATCTGTGATTTTCGCCATGAGGGTCTTGCCACACTCCCTCTGTGTTCAGATTCCCGAGCGCACCTTCAGCTCTCTGCCTGAAGGCTTCCGTTGGATGCCTCTAGGAACCTTCTAGAACATGCCAGGACAAGAAGGGAGTGCCAGGGAGCTGGCGCCTCCGGGGGGGGGGGGTTCACCGAGCCACGGTTCCCCTGCCTGAGGTGCTCACCACGCCGGGATGCTCCTCCCAGAGGCCTCTTCTCCCCAGGCACATTTGTGGCAGGTGCTCTCCTAAAGCGCCTCGGAAACCAACGACTGCATTTGTGTTCCCACCTCAACTGGGGAGCCCAAGGGCCTCTGTCCTACAGACCTGGGCTGCGGTACCCCACAAGCTTCACCTGCAGAGCTGAGGCCACCTCGCTCTGACCCCATCTCTGGCGCGAGGCCTGAGTGCATTTGCTGTTTTTCGTCTGTTGGTTGCTTTTTGAGAAGTTATTTCAATTTTAAATTTTAATGTATGTATTTGTTGGTTGGTTGTGGGGTGCTGTCCTTAGCTCTTCAGCTCAAGGCCAGCACTCTACGGCTTGAGCCACAGCACTACTTCTGGTTTTCTGAGTGGCTTATTGGAGATAAGAGTCTCACAGACTTTCTTCCCTGGGCTGGCTTTGAACTATAATTCTCACATCTCAGCCTCCTGAGTAGCTAGGATTCTAGGCGTGAGCCACCAGCGCCCCAGGAGAAGCAAATTTTTTCATAGGTGTGTGTTAGTTTGTGACAGGGTCTCGCTGTGTAACGCAAGCAGACCTGAACTCCAAACTAACCTCAAACTCCTCCTCCTCCTGCCTCAGCCTCCCAAGTGCTGGGATTACAGGCATGTACCACCACACCCTGCTGAAGTGATTGGCCAGTACGGGGAACCACTGTGCTGTCTCCTGGGCACCCTGAAGTGGAATCTGAGGGCAGGAACTGGGGCACCCTTACTGGAGGACACATCCAAGAACGGGCATCAGGCTAGACCAGAGCTGGCCGCAGGCAGATCTGGTGAGCAGAGGAGATCGTTTGCCCAAGAAGATGGTGAAGGACCCCAGGAAGAGATGGGGGGTCTCAGAGCCCAAATGCCTGGAGGGTGGGCTGGGCAAGGCAGGGAGGCCACTGGAGTCCTTTCCTCCACCACCATAACGAACGTGGCTTAAAGCAACACAAGTCCATTCGGTGTGGTTCCGGAGGCCTGAGAGAAACCACCCAGGCTTCTCTCCCAGCTTCCGGCCAAGACCGGAAATTCCTGCGGTTCCTCGGTTCCACCTTCTGCTCCATCTTCACGTGGCCTTCTGAGAGAGTCCCTCAGTACCCAAAGTTCCCTCTCGCAAAAAGGACCCCTGTCATGTGACCCTAAAGCTCTAGGGCCTCATCTGATGTCATCTGCAGGGATTTATTTCCAAATAAGGTTATATTTTGACCAGGCCCCAGTGGCTCAAACCTGTAATCCTAGCTACTCAGGAGGCTGAGACCTGAGGATCAAGGTTCAAAGCTACATGTAAGACTATTAACTCCAATCAAGCCAGAAGTGGTGGTGTGACTCAAATGGTACAGCACCAATCTTAAGCAAAATAGCTGTGAGATTGTGAAGCCCTGAGTTCAAGACCCAGTACTGGCAGGCAGACACACACACACACACACACACACACACACACACACACACACACACACACACACACACACACACACACACACACACACACACACACACACACAGAGTTGCATTTTGAAGTTTTGGGAGGATTCCCCACCACCACCATCACAGGGGCCTTGTGGAAGAGGCCACAGTGGCCAGACACGGATGGGTCCCCAAGGACCCAGCTGGTGAGATCGCCACAGTTTTGTTATTTTTTTTGGTTGGTCGTGGGGCCTGAAGTCTGAACCTGAGCACTGTCCCTCAGCTCAAGGCTCAAGGCTCTACCACTTGAGCCACAGCGCCGCTTCGGGCTTTTTCTGCTTATGTGGTGCTGAGGAATTGAACCCAGGGCCTCAGGCATGTGAGGCAAGCACTCTACCGCTGAGCCACCTTCCCAGCCCCTCGCCACAGCTTTGTGTGACCACAGGTCTGGATTCTTCAGGAGCCAGGAACGTGGGCTGCTCCTCGTGTGAAGTTGCGTAAGTTAAAAATGTAGGCTCAATATTTTTAGAACATTGTACAAAAACAATAAAAGCCACTTGATGATGGCCTGCCATCTGGTTCCCGGATGGATGTCACTAGAAGGCAGAGCAGGGAGCCCACAGGCCCTGCAAGGCCAAATCCTCCTCATCCTCCTCCACCCCCAGGGCAAAGGCAGACACTGGGGATGCT